GAGTCAGCACAAAAACCTAAGGGAACAAGTAGTGAATAAATTACTTGAACTCCAGTTATACTTAACCCCACGATCACTTGATAAGGCATTTGCTAGTGACTATTGTACAATGAGGGTCTTCTTCCTATCTCTGTTACTCCTCAAGACCTTCACCCTATCTTTTCTTATATTTAACTAAAAAGACCCAGTTAATGTCAACTCAAGTGTTGGTAACATCAGATTTCACTTGCTAACATGTTTTTCCCTCTTCAGAGCTACTCCTACGACCTAGAGTCCATATCTCAAGATTGGGTATCACAGTGCAATATATCATATGAATTGACTAAGTTCCACCATTTCGAAACAAGAAGAAATGTTGCGGCCGTTTTTGCAGATCGGGTTCCAAAAATGGTGGAGCTTGCTGGTATCTGGGAAAACGAGAAAGAACATTTCGACTACTACCAAAATGACATTAAGTCAAACTATACAAACTATGCCAATGTAAGTACACTAAATTGAATTTAAATCATGAAGTTATTCACATTTAAATTGGAGGCAGAAGTGCGTTGGTACTTATATTGGAACTGTTTAATGGGATTACATAAAATTTCCCTGATTATTTCAATAAATTAAGAGCATTTGTGATATGATCTCCAGTTTTGAATTGGACTGTGAATGGCCACTTCTAATATACTTCTGTCAAGCAAAAGGCAGCCAGATAACGGCGGTTTATTAAGTTTACCAAGATCACTTTCATCGATTTAATAGATTGTTCTAACAATGGTCTCTATGCTAATAGTTAGCAATAATTGCTGTTCTCAAACAAACTGAATAGTATTTGAGTCTTCAGAAAGACTAGGAGAATTGAAACTATTTGGGGAAGTGGTGGTAAAGTAAAAATATTGATTTTTGGGAAATGTTTCACAAATTAATTCCTTTTAGGTGACATTTCGGTGACAATTTGAACTTATAATTGCACCAAAGTCCGTTTGTATATCTGAATTATTTCAAGGTCATGATTAAATTGTTTTTTTACACTGGATTGAGTTCAGTGTACCGTCTACGTGTTTCAAACCAGTGTACCGCGTGCCTCCTCATTTTCTCATGGAATTGGGCTTTTGACAATAGTGACAATTGATTAGTCGTTTTCCATACTGAGATAAGATCCAATATGAGCATCTTTAAAGGGTCTTTAGAAAAGAAAACAACGAATAAGATTAATGGGTAATTAAAATTCCTAACCCCAAAGGCTAAATCTCTCTATCCTTTTCCTAATTGGCCGATTCCACATGTTCGAGTGGTAAGATAATTTTGATCATAATCATGAAAGCCGTAGTGATGAAATATGCTCTATTTAAATAAATTGGGCTGTTTTTATTTATACTTAAGCTAGAGAGTGAGAGAGAGCCTTATTTATTACTATTCTTCTTAATGTGCTTCCAAAATCAACCCATCTTCATGCGCGCGTATTATGGCTCACTCCTTCAGGTGGAACGCCAATGTTTAATGCTATTTTTTTTTCATTCTTAACTAGATTATTAATGCATATGCCACGCACTTCGGTTGTGCAATGCAACGATGTGATTCGCCTCGTAAGTCTGCGGCAAAGCCATTCTACATTATGGCTTGTCATTATAAGGTGGCGTAAGTTTTGCCTTTCATCCGAAGTATTCATTTTAAAGTTATCTAACTCTCAATTGAAGGCTAATTGCGTGTATTTCTTTAAAGTGGTGAATATGGAAATAAACAACCTTACAGTATCGGACCCAGTTGCAGCGATTGTCCAATACAACATAAATGTCATCGTAACCAATGCGTGAAAGAACTGTGACAGTTATCGTTTTCAATTCTTCCTTACTTAAAAATGCAAATTAAACTGAAGCTGACAGCCTCGTTACTTAGATAAGTGTTTATAATTGAGTCGTGATAAGTTGGTCTGCTTTTAATTTTGGCTCCTTAAAGCTAGAACATAGCGCTTTGTGGTCAGTTTGGAGAACCAATTGCAGGAACCTAATCAATTAAGGATGAGAGATATGATTTTGGCAATCAACGAATTGTCTAAGTACTGGAAGGAGTTGGCGGACAGGAAAGAGGAAATGACCGACCACGGAGGTGGTCAAGGAAGAATTCGAAGATGGAAAAGTGGGTTGTAACAAGCCAGTCTGCCATTTACTGAATTACATCGGCTGGCGGACGTTCTCCTTTATTCTCTTGGACAATTCCAAAACTTTGGTTTTTTCATTCGTACTTCGAAAATACATCCTACCTAGGTGTCATATTTCCCATTACCCAACTGGTAAAAGTCCGTCTCTCTTAGTGAAGGTTTCCTTAATTTTTAAACCAAGGAGTTTATTGAAAAAGATCACTCCAGATGTTTGGAAGAAATTGGCCTTTAATAAACGCCGTTTTGCCTTTAAACTGTTTATTTACGTGAATTAAATTGAAATATGCCTTAATCATTAACGAAAGCAGCTATATGCTAGTACTTGAGCATAAAAGCGGAATCAGCATTATCTGTTCATGTTTCCATCGGCCTACCAACATCTCAGGCCATTAAACCGATCTCTAATTGCTTGCTTTAAAATTTTCCCTTAATAAACCTACAAATTGAAACTGCTATGTAGGTGGTAGATATGGCTTTCAGAATGTCTAAGGATCTACAGAACATAACTAACGTCTAGTCTAGTTTTCTAAAAATGCCGCCAGAATCCCGCTTAAAAACATAATTAGGAAAAATTGATAATATTTTGCTTCCTATAGAGTTCACAATATAATAAAAATACTTAAAAGTTACTATTAGGGTCGGGGGTGTGTGATACTTACCTTGACGTGGTG